TACCCCCTCAAATCTGGACTTAAGGTTTAAAAACGCACTTTTCATAGGTTGAGCCTTATAATTGTTCGTAACTTATGCTGATTTCGTTTCTACCAAAAAATGTTGTTTTTGTAATTATATGAGATTGCTGCGATCGCGCAAAATTGTTTGTCTCACTTTTTCATTTGTTTACTGCTCATTATTGAACAAAACAACTAATAAAACCATTAAACTCATTTTAATTTTCACTTTTTAATTTCTTCAAATGAATTTTGACACTTCAGAACGCAATTGACAAGTAGGAGGTTTGTTCCTTTTTTTCTACAATCGGATTTGATATTAGGTTAGGTTAGGTTGATGTGGCAGTCGGTTCGAATTACCAACTCACTTAGGCCTTTTTGAAGGTCCATTGTGATACCACTGCAGAACACGGGAACCTCTGTTACTAGTCTTCAGAGAACCATTTCGAAGCTCTTATAAAGCGTAGGATTGGCTTTATTCCTACGCATGATAGTTCCGTAAGAGAGTTAAAGAAGGGCCTACCTAAAAAGCCTGCTCTCCTCCTGGCCAGAGCTGGGCAGCTACAGAAGAAGTGCTCTACGGTTTCTTCGTCTTCCTCATCCGTGCAACTTCTTCAATATTCGTGGGAGAATATTCCTAGTCTCGAAGAGTGCCTGCTAAATAGCCAATGACCGGTAACACAAGCCATGACCCTTGCAATATCCTCTCTTGAGAGGCTGAGCAACTCTTTCGTCTTTTTCTTATCTATTTGTGGCCAAAGTAGCCTAGTTGTTCTACAAGTGCCCTCCTCTAGCCATGACCTATTTGCCTCTTGGATCATGCTGTTTCGAAGTTCTCGTTTGCAGGTTGCCATGGGTATCCCAATTGTGCCTCTGTTTTCACATAGGGGGAGATTGGTACCTTTTCTGGCAAGCTCATCGGCCCTGCAATTTCCTTCAATGTATCTATGTCCCGGAACCCAAATTAAGCTGACCGTGAACACGGCGCTGATATCGTTTAGAGCTGCTGGACATTCCTGCGCAACCTTCGATCTCAGTATTACCATGTTCATTGATTTAATGGCCGTCTGGCTGTCCGAGAAAATCTTAATCGTAGTCCTCGTTACGACATGCGTACTAAGGTACACAGCCACCTCCTTTATAGCTAAAACCTCTGCCTGATAAACACTGCAGTGGTCCGGAATTCGGACGGATAATTCTAGTCCTAGTTCCTTGGAGAAAACTCCGTAGCCAACCCTTTTGTCTAGCTTGGATCCATCCGTATAAAAATTCAGTTCCCACCTTCTCCATGGTCTTGGTGTTTGCCATTCTCTTTTTGACGGGATGCTCGTCTTGAAGAGCCTATCGAAGGTTGGTTTAGGGGTGGAGTAGTCCACTTCTTGTTCATGACTACCCAGAGTTGAAGTATAGAGGCGTGGCCGAACCGCCGATCCTTCCATAGCACCATGCTTTTTAGTCTGAGCACTGAATAGGCGGCCGCGTATTTTCCCACCAGGTTTAATGCGGGCAGATTGATTACCACCTCTAGCGCTTTGTTTGGGGTGGTCCTTAAGGCGCCTGAAATGCATAAAAACGCTGTTCTTTGGTCCTTACTCAATAGTTTTAGGTAACTTGACTTTTGAGTTGCTGGCCACCATACGAGTATTCCATACAATAATATTGGCCTGACCACCGAGGTGTAAAGCCAATGTGTAATACGAGGTGTTAGCCCCCACTTGATTCCGACCGCTTGTTTGCAAGTATGTAGTGCAACGTTGGCCTTCTTTACTCTTTCCTCTATATTAGGTTTCCACGTAAGTTTCCTGTCTAATATGAGTCCTAGATACTTAACATTCTCCTTCAAAGATATCTCCACACCCATAAAGATTAGCGGTGAGACTGTGGGAAGCCTATGTTTCCTTGTAAAGAGAATTACTTCAGTTTTTTCGGGGTTTATTCCGAGCCCCCTACTCTCTGTCCAGTTCCTAAGCGTGGCCATGTTAGAGCGCAAAATCTCCATTAGGGTATTAGGGTATTTACCTTTAACGGCAATTGCCAGATCGTCAGCATATGCAGTGACGTGGCAGCCCCCCCTCTCTCGTTTCTTCAGCAGAGAATTTACTGCCAAATTCCAGAAAAGAGGGGAGAGAACCCCTCCCTGAGGAGTGCCTCTACAGACCTCTCTGCTTATTGTGGTGTTGCCAAGCTTATCGGTTATCTTCCTGCTGAAAAGCATAGACTCAATCAGCGCCGCTACGTTGTGGTTAACTCCAAGCTCTTCTAAGGCACCCTATGGCGCTTGCTTTAATGTTATTGAAGGCGCCTTCTATATCAACAAAGGCAACCAGAGTATACTCTTTATCAGATAAACTTTTTTCCACCAACCCGACGAGCGAGTGCAAGGCGGTTTCCGTAGATTTGCCCTTCGTATAGGCATGCTGCGCTGGGGAGAGCCTACTAGTTGGTATCACGCCCCGTATATAATCGTCCACTATCCTCTCTAAAATTTTGAGCAAAAAATACGTAAGACCTACCTGCCTTAGGTATGAAGGAGACTTTTGTCTCTCTCCAGCCTAGCGGAATATAGCCCATGTTAAGACAGCTTCTTATGATAGACGCAATGAATGGGGAGATAATACTCCGTGATTGCTGCAGTTCTACCGGGTGTATGCCGTCCAGTCCCGGTGACTTGTAAGGACCAAAAGTCTTAATAGCCCATTCGATTTTCGCCTTAGTAATCAGTCGATTTCCTAGATCAGGTAGCCCCCCGTCATTTATGGGGTCATTAAGTTCCATCGGCTTGCTTCCAGGGAAGTGTGTGTCCAGGAGGAGACCTAAAGATTTCACGCTCGTCGTAGTCCATGAGTTCCCTTGACCCTTGAGATAGCCAAGGTTGCATGGCGACTTTACAAGAATTTTTCTTAATCTGGCCGCTTCCGTGGTTTCCTCAATTCCCTTGCAATAACTCTGCCATGATTTACGTTTCGCAGTTCTAACTGCTTTTTTGTATATTTTCAGATCAGCCTTATAGGCTTCCCAGTCCTCTGTTGTTCTCGTGGCTTTGGCCTTATTGAACATTGTCCTATTGGATTCACGTAACGAGGATAATTCTTTTGACCACCAAGGTGGTTTGTTTTTCCCCCTGTATCTAACAACCGGGCATCCGGCTGACAAAGAACTATTCATGGCTTTAGTGACCTGATTAACCAACCCGTCCAATTCCACCCGCGTGGCGGGGTCCCGGGGAGGTATCTTTGGCTATAAAGTCCCCAGTTTTTTATTGTAAACACTCCAGTCGGTATTACGCACATTTCTGAACTCCCTAACATGGGGGGTCTTAAGATCTATTTCGAATTGAATATAACAATGGTCAGAGTAAGACTTTTCACTAAGTACTCTCCATCTCTTAATTTTATGGACAAACGAGTCCGAAGTCAGGGTTATGTCCAAAACTTCCTCTCTACTCTTTGTTATAAAGGTCGGCTCTGAGCCTAAATTCAAGACACTAAGTTTATTTCCTAGAATGAAGTCTAGTATCGACTCACCTCTAGCGTTCGTGTCCGTACTCCCCCACATCGAATTGTGAGCATTAGCGTCGCAGGAGACAACCAGTTGTTTTTTCTTATAGGCTGCTTCCTTGACTAACGTCCGAACCTCCTCTGGTGGTGCGTCCTTGTCATGGGCCATGTAGGCAGAGGCTACCCAGAAGCTGGTTTTATCCAGTTCTATGCTTGCCGCTACCAAATCGCCGTCACTTAGCTGTGGGAGCAGGAAGATGTTTAAGTTGTTCCTTGCTAATATGCAAGCTCGAGTCTTACCTGCATTTTGTGCGGCAATTAGCTTAAAGCCCTTCACCCCAAGCCCGCAGATTTTGTTGCCGAGTATCCACGGCTCCTGGATGAGGGCAACGTCAAGTCCACCGGCAGCCAGGCGGACCTCAAGATTCGCGGACGCGTGTTTAGAATGGTTGAGGTTGATCTGGATCAGCTTCATAAGACTTCGTCCGTTTTACCTCCACCATTGTGACATCTACGTCCGCCTCCTCGATCTCCTCACCCTCGGTGTCATCGGCGAGATCCTCTTCATAAAACAGCGGCCCCAAACCGGTTAGCCTCTCTGAGTCGGATGAGCATTGGCTGCTGGGCAACCCTTCTTCACCACCGCTGCGCATGCCGGACTTATCACTCTCCTCATTAAGGCCCAAGCCCGGTTCGTCGCTGCGGTAGATTCGAACGGTTGCGTCAACAAACCCGAATCTGACTTCCCAATCCTTCTGCGCCAATGGGGCGAGCGATTCGGCGTTGAGGATCAGCAACACCTGCCTTCTGTTTCCTATCGGCTCTTCGATCTTCCCCACCTTCCAATTGTGTGGGGCAGGTCCTTATTGCAGGATCTAAAGATCCGCTCTATTTTTTCAGGCTCGGCTGGTTTAGCCGGTATCCAAACCCGAGCTCTAGGTCTGCTAGGAATCTCTTCCTAGCTGACCGCCTCTAGTTTGGCTCCCGGCCAAATCTCACCTACCTTGCTAACGGCCAACCTGTAGAGCTGGGCTGACCTATGGTCCTCGCAAGCGATGAGCTTTGCCCTACCTTGATACCAACCGGAATCGTGGCAGAGAGGAGGAGGTCCAGGGTTTTCCTCTAAGACCTGGAGGTCGATTTCGGCTATAGCCTCCTCCACCTGCCTCCATTTCTCCTTCGGGATGGTCCCCTCCTCCTCCCCTCTGTCAATGATGGTCAGTACCTCACCGCCTCCCTTAACAACGTCCCTGAAGGAGGGGTATTTATGGCCACCTGTTCTCTGTCTTTTGGCGACCCTATCCCCTGCCTGTTCAGCAGATCGTTGCCTCTTTGGAGCAGAGCCTGCCGATTTGCCCAAGCTGGCTACCACTCCCCTCGCCCAGTCCAATGACTTGATTTCTTCCTCTGTCAGCTGTTCTGTCGGCAGGTCCCCTATCCTATTAACGACCCTAATGGCCGCCTTTCTATCGTAGTAGGCCTGCTTAGAGGGGCGGACATGTTTAGCCGGCCCCCCATGACCTGTGGCTGCAACCTTCTTTGAGCTGCTGCGTATATCAGCAGCATCCTGCCGGTTTATCCTTGAAGCAGGTGCCGCACCCCGCCCCTGGGTTGAGGTGTGTAAGTTTTGGGATCTAAATTCCCTAGGCGGAGCTGACGTCGCAGCTCCAGCCGAGAAACGGTTAGAGACCGGTTTTCCCAGACCTCTACTCCCCCCCCCCCTGCCTCCTACATTACTCGTCCTAGGACCAGCCCTGCCGCTTAAGCCCCCTCTATCTCCTATCACTGGCGGTCTGATCAATGCCTTGCCCGAGGCTGTAGCATCAATCGGAGTCACCCCTGTCGGTTTTTTGGGAGGACCGTCCTCCGTGGATGTTGTTTTTATTTTTGCAAATGAACTCATATTTTGGTCCCACGAGTGTCGGACAGTGGAGGTCCCCCCGCACAGAGGTCCGTGTGTGCAGGTAAGGCTTGATAGAACCGGAGGTCGCCAGGTATCCGGAGCACTCCGTTCGAGACTGGGATAGTTTTTTGTCTGGGTCCCCAGCCAGTCTGAACATCAGCACGGGTCGTCTAACACCTTATTCCAACACAGAGTTTTTTTTCAAGAGGTTTGCTCCTCAGTTACCTCCATAGGCCACGATCAAAAACCATTTCCATATAACTAAGCTATTGAAGAGCTTAAGCACCTAGCACTGATTCCTGATCTTAGCTGGACACCATTCTGACATCGTACAGAACCTAAACTGTAGTGCCCATTACCAGTCGGCACCCTCGTGCAGGGTTCAGCCGGAGGGTTTTCGCCAACCGGATTTGATATTAACGTCGAAACAAAAGTTCCGATCGGATTGTGGAACACCATTTAAATTCCGAGTCGGAATTGAATTCCGATTCCGATGCGATTCCGACTCGGATTGCAGAACATTGCTGAATAATGGTCTTCAATTTTCGCCTTGGACACTTTTTAGCGCATTATAAGTTCAACACCAATAGGCAGAAATTTGGAGAATTTTAAAATTTTCTTTTAAAAAATTAATTTTTTTCGCCACAAAAAATATGTGAAAATCAAAGGAGGCCTTAAAGAGTGTAAATTTTTTTTCATTTGTATAGAAAAATATTTATGTAGACTTCAAGCCCTTACTAAAGAAAGTCCAGCCAACTAACTGACTTCATCCACATTGCATTTGTGCATTCAAAAATATAATAATTGCCAGGATAACTTGCCAGTATTCGTAGAGAAATGGACAATGCGGCCAAATAAATATTCGATTTTTGTACAGTCGACTTTATTAATTTATCAATTTTGCGTAAAGTCAATTCTCAAATCTTATATATAAAAATAAGTGCACGTTTTAGGTGTGACCTCATAACTTGAGAACGGCTTCCCCAAATGCAACCAAATTTATGTGGCATATTTGACCTATCATGCAGATGGTTTATGCGAAGTTTGCTCGAATTCGGAAAAGGGGGCGTGGCACCACCCATACTAACTAAAATTTGTATGTTGTATATCTCTTGAAATATTTGTGGTAGAGTACTGGAAGTTGGTATAGAGGTATATCAAATAATTCCATACTCATGGAGAAAAATGGGCGGTATTGGAAAAGAGGGCGTGGCACCTCCCATCTTAAATAAAAAAATAAGTGCACGAATTCTACCAAATTTAAACGGCATATTCGGATTCATGCAGATGGGTTTTGTGAAGTGGGCCCGAAGTCGGTCCAGCGGTTCATGATATATGACAGTTTATGTCTGTCACATGAACCACGTATATGGTACAACAGCACATACATGAAAAATCGAAAACATAGTGAAAAATTGTTGCTATAATATGCTGTGTTTATTTTTTCTTCGGATAAATTAAGTCAAGTATAAACATGGCTGCAAGTTTTTCAATAGGGATTTTGTAGAGCCAATGGAATGAAAGTCACCACAACACAACATATCTGTCATTTCATCGTATTATCGAAAAGGTGGTGTACATTGATATTCGGTCTTTCTATTTTGGACTTTGGAGAATCAACACGTGTGTTTAATATAGTTCTTAATTCATATTTAATTTTATTTTTTTTCGTCAATTTCAATATTTTTGCACGAATTTGTTGCAGCGTTTCGAACGAAAAGTTTGAGTACACTGGAAATTATCCATGCAGGTATTTCTCCTCATTGATTTATAGTGAACAAAACCATTGTGGAAAATTGTGGCTGTGTTGTGTTCTTTGGCTTCGAATGAAGTTTTTTCAAGTGCTCTTTTACTGTCGATTGTGAATTTCATTTGATTATTTAAAAAAAAACCATACGATTTATCGAATTCGTTCCTATGCATTGAGTTTTTCGTTCTTGCGAACATGATGTTATCGCAAAGAAGATCGCAAAATGTTGAGGAGCACTCCCAACAAAAGGAAGTACGGCGTGCAGGATTTTTCATTAATTTTTCAATATTTGGTGTAGAGAAGCACACCGGGGTACCGCTAGTTAACTATAAAAACAAATAAATCTGAAATAAACCAAAATCGAAAACCGTAAATAAAAGCAACCAATTTCGGTTAAAAATAACCAACATAAATATTGATTTTCACAATTTCTATTTTTCGGTCACGGTGGACCCTTCCATGAAAACATCCATGTGCTTAAATTTGATCCCTTTAAGGCCCTGTGGTCTGGGGCAATTCAAAATAATACGACAGCCCCATTCCAGGCTTGTCGTATGGTTTAAAATAAAATTAAAATACTAAATCTATGAGAGCTTCAGTTAGGGAGAAGTTTCAGAAAACCAATAAAAACAACCTCTTCATTTTGAGTAAAATTACATCACATATTAAATCAGTATGGGACCGCAGGGCGACACACAGTGGTTCGGATAGCAGATCTAGCTGGACGAAAGTCTAAATTTTTTTTTGTTTTTAAAATACTTAATGGTACTCAGAATACATTCCTGACAATAGATTCAAGCAGAAATTGCATTTATTAAAGCATTAAAAATATGGAACCAAAAAAAAGGTAAGTCAACGCCGCCTATTTGAGAACTCTATTTTAAAAGCTGAAATTTAACTTAAAAGATTGCTAATTGCACTCACAAATATTTGCATAATTGCAAATTGACTTTAGAAACAAAAAATTACACTTATTCCGCTATAGATTCAGAGGTCATAACGCAATTTATGTCCACATTGGTATAAGCAAATTTAGTCTGAAAAATCGTCTTTTTGATTAATTAAAAAATTAATTAAAGAGTAGGAAAAGTAAAGGCCGCCGAAGGCCGTTATAAAACCACTTGCATATTATTCTTAACACCTTCGCAAATGCAGAGGGTAAGTTCGATTACCAAATCTAACCAATTGGCTTAGATATTTACATTTTAGTGACGGTATGTCAAATCTCAAAATTCAAAACTAATTATTAAAAAGTAGGGGTTGTGTGTTAAAACCGAAAAATACTTGGAGTTATAAAAACTTTGGTTATGCAAGAGTTAAAAAAAATAGTAACTCGCGAATTTTCTGCTTTCTGAAATTAAAAACTTATAAAACAGGCATGCAAATCTTTAAGCGCTGTTATAAAATTTTTTCTGCAATTTATTTGTGTTTCTTGCTGTGATCTTAAATTTTAGTCATGGTAAATAAAATCTTAAGAAGTGAGTTGTTTGACATTTGGAGAAGTGTTGCTGAAACTTCTAAAAGACAACAAGGTGTCCGTGATTATGTGATTAGTAAATTGAAAAAAAAAATGTAATGAAAATACTCGTTCCAAAGTAGAAAAAAAATGTGCAGAATTTTGTAAAAAAATTCGAAAACGGTGGACTGAGTGTCATTATTCACTTGAACATTTTCAGAAGAACAATCTTGATTGTCTGAAAACTGAACTAACTTTTATTAAAGACGTTAACTTGCGGCAAAAATGTAAAGGCGGTATACCTCAAAAACGAT